AAACAATGATTTTTAAACTACCTTTCCACAAATCAATTGACCAAAGAAAGAGTTCACCCAAGAATTTATCGAGCTCACTGTTCAATTTCAGGCCCGCTGGCCAACCCATCAACCATTCAATCATTGACACTAAATTTTCAATAGTATAATGCTAGAATTATTAACAAGAGATATAGCCCTTAGAATATTTATAATAATCATGAGTGAAATTACATGCTTTGACATCCTTACATCAAGATAGTCCTTCAATAAGATATTTGCCACGTACTCACTATTATTGATAAGAAATGATCCTATGGTAACTCCTATTATGATATCATTCGCTACAAGCCACATACTGTTATAAAAACTTGAGTAGTAATTCATAAACTCTATTAGATAGGATTTGGAATTGTGTTTGGACCCGTCTGAAAATCTCCACCCAGATCACTCAACGGGTGGAGCATATGTCATCCGGTGGAAGCCGGGTCAACTAAAAAGTTTCCAATACGGGTTACCCACCCGACGGGTGGACTATACATCAGCGGGTGAAAATCGGTGGGATCAACTTAAAAAATCCAATACCGAAATTTCCCGCAGACCTTGCTCGTATTTTACGTTTGCTGAGTCCGAAACTTTCCGATAGTAGACACGCAATTTATGAATCTGTGCCGAATATCTACTTATACATAACCAATCATATCACGGCTTTATTTGCGTCGATCCTTTCAAGATTTGAAAATTTTTATCATTTCTAACGATGATTTTCTTACGGCAAAAATTTTTTTTTATTTTAATTTCTACACACTTGGAGAATTAAAATAAAAAAGTTTATTGAATTTGGTTTAATGATTGTCAGAAATCTTCGGTAAAAGTTTAAAAAAAATCTTAGGAAAAAAGCTAAAATCGGGTGAATTTTTCCTTTTTTAAACTTTGATCGAAGATATCTCGACACCTATCTATCCAAATCCGACGAATTTTTTTTATCTTAATCCTACGAATCTATAGAATAAAAAAAAAAAAAAAAAACTTTGCTCGAATTTGATCAGGTAAGCGTCGAGTAATCACCATTCGAAGTTTAAGTATCTATAAAATAAAAACTGCGGCAAATTTCTTTCTTAACTTTTAATGAATATTTCTCGACAACTATACATACAAATTCGGTAAAAAAAATTTTATTTTAATTCTATTGATTCATATAATTAAAATAAAAACGAAATTGGATAGGTGGGTGTCAAAAATCTTCGGTCAAAGTTTAAAAATAGAAAAATTCATCGATTTTAGTTTTTTTTCCTAGGATGTTTTTGAACCTTTACAGAAGATTCCTCGACATCTATTAAATCAAATTCAATAAACTTTTTTTTTATTTTATTCTATATATTTATAGAATTAAAATAAACAATTTTTTTATACCGAATTTGATCAAGCAATTACTAAGAAATCATCGCTAGAAATTATAAAAATTTCAAACCTTAAAGGATCAACGCAAATAAAACTATGACCTGATTGGGTATGTTTAAGTAGATATTCAACAAACCGGGCATAGATTCAAAATTGCACACGCTACGGGTCACCCGTGGGTTGGCTTACGAGTGACCCGCGGGT